GCCCCACACACGATAATCAAGCTGATTGCTGTCTGGAGAGTTCGGTGACCAGGTGTTAGTGGGGATGTGGTCACAGAAATTGTCTGACAGTCATGGATGGGTGCTCCTGCTTGTGTGGCATGGTGCAGATTCCTGTTGCCAGACATAGAGCCTTCGAGGAGGCAGCCTCTTCATCCAGCTCAAGGGACTTGATGTTTGCCTCCGTGTCGTTTCTGGGGCCGTCACCAACAAGAACGATCAGAATGAGTTTTCCGAGTTGCCGTACATTCTTAATCACCATTAGACTCAACCAACTCTTTCGGAGTCCTCTGCATTGTACTCAGAATGACACCCAAACACTCTGTAATATTCGGGTTGAAGTCTCATGGTGAGAATACCAAATAGTAAAACATGCTGTTTCCAAAATTCTGGTGGAGTGAATTACGTCATGGTGATCTTTTTCTCACAGACAGTGCCCAACTGACCATACCATACTGTGCAATCGACAAAATCAAAGACAATGTGTATGCGCGAAATTAAAAAGGCGACAATTTATCCAACGTACCATGTTTAGATAGATAGATAGATAGATAGATAGATAGATAGATAGATAATGAACAGAGATGCGATTGTTAGGCAGATAAAAAAAAGCGCAGTGATAGATAGAAAGAGATAGATAGATAAATAGATAGAAAGCGAAATAGGTAGAAAGCGACAAAGATAGATAGATAATGAACAGAATAAGATAGATAGATAGATAGATAGATAGATTGTTCTGAATTAGACTTGAATGGGTTGACGCAGATTTATATGAACTTACACACGAAAAGGGATAGATAGATAAATAGATAGATAGATTAGGATAGATAGATAGATAAATAGATAGATAGGAACAGATTAGGATAGATAGATAGATAGATAGATAGATAGATAGATAGATAGATAGATAGATAGAATGTTCTTAGAAATCATTAAAAGTTTTTCTTTAATTTCATCAGATTTTATAATAGAAAATCACAAAACTAAATATCTCGGCTCCTTTTTTTTAGGCATGGTTGAATTATCTCTTTCACCACATCATCAGCGAAGGACTACTATCCTTTGAATGTTCTTTGTTGTCCAGCTCCCATCTTTTCTTTCGTGAAGCATTCTGGGAAGTCATTTTGCACGGCCCTTTTTTGAAATGAAGAAACATCTCTTACATGCAATTACTGCCATATCTAACATGAAGACTTTCACAATATTGCATTAGTAATTGTTCTATTAATTGAAATCATGTTATCAACCTTTTTAATCTTGTCTTTATTCATAGTAGCAGCAGGGTTGCCATTGTGCTGCCTATCATCAAAGTCAATTTCGCCTTTGTTTCTGGACCTATAGCTTTACAGTGTTTACTCCAAGGGTCACAATTCCATAAATATTAATTTCCTGCGAATTATTGAAGTATTTTATCCTACTAAAAATAAAATTAAAGGCAGTGTTATAGTATATGTCTGTATTTCTGAGATGAGGTATTATGTACATTATTTACATTATTCGGACTATTGTCCTCATCTTTGCTTCAATATCTGTCTATATTTCTGAGATGAGTTATTATGTACACTATTTACATTATTCGGACTATTGTCCTCATCTTTGTTGCCATATTTATCGCAACGTTTGGACCGATGTACACTCCTGACTTCTTCAGGTAGTTTGAATGTCGAATTGAACCCTTTATTTCGCTCGCTGTTCTAGTTCCACGGGCCATGTCTAATGGATGTCTGTTACCTCCTGTTAATTCACCTCTCCAGGTTCTCCACTGCCTTAACCAAGTATTGAAGTGACAGCTCTTTGGGTCCTGTCACTGGATCTAACCAACGCCTTTATGCCACGTGTCCTTAGATCTTGCACGTGGAACTAGTGCAGTCTATACCCCAGCGAGCGAAATAACGGGTTCAGTTCGACATTCCAACCACCTGACGAAGGCCGGAGCGTACATCGGCCGAAACGTTGTGATTAATATGTCAACAAAGATGAGGACAATAGTCCGAATAATATAAACAGTTTTATATAGTGTAGATGTTTTTTCGTTTACATCTAATCATTCCAGTTTTAAAATGATGAACTATTTCCCTGTGTTTAATTCCATAGCTACACAGAATATTACACTGATAATTTTGCTGATGTATAATTATTCACGCTGATGCTTTTAGAAAAGTTATGTTTTTCTTATTAATTTTCTGTTTTGATTTTGGCGGCAACTTTCTACGTTCATTGAAATGGCTTTGTCGCCGTGAATATGGCTTATAGCCAACAAGATAGGCCCCATTACAATTCAGCTCAATAGATAAAATGACATCACTAAGATGGAACTGATTTCGATTTCGAAAATTTTCTTTATGTGTTTCTCCATTCGGTGAATTTCTCCAGACAGAAAGTGAGATTGCTAAACGACCTATTAAGATAGTTGCCGCTGAGTGAACAATCGTAATTCCAAATGTCAGAACAGACTTCCAGGACAACTGGCATTCCATGAACC